TACTGTTTCATGATGTCCAAAAAGAACTTAACAGCGCAACAACGAATCTCCATCACTTAGAGTGTGTAGATCCATGTCTGCCTAACCTTATCGGTTGGTGGTCATTTGCCTTTCATCTGAGGTAGACAAACAGATATCATTATTTTCCATAAGCTGAGCACTGAGATAGAAATCTGCAGTAAATAATAATCTACTGTAAAAATACAATAATAAGCGCTCATAATCGAAAGGCATGATTCTGGTAAACTAGCGGTTCGAGACTTTCGTTTGTCTGTTGCAACGTTCACGCCAAAATAGACAAGTGGATCATATATATATCAACTGTGACCGATTCGCTGTAGAGCATAAAGCGATAACCTTTCTGTGTGACCGCTTAATGGCCAGTTGTCGCAGCTTGAGCGGCAGCGCTTAACCTATATGTCATGTTGACTGTAAACCATCAATCAAGCCAGTTAGCGAAAAACAGTTCAAAGTCTACTGCTTTTACAAGTTAAAAGTCTTCCATCACAGCTGAAATTTCTGAAAATCTATCGTGTTATGTTAATGTACCTGTTACAGCCATAAAATGGATTATGAAATAGACAATTTAGCGAAGTTTTTTCCTCTTGCTAAGCCAAATTCACTGATATCTAGGAAAGTCTAAGATTATCCGCTTAATACAGTTCAAGAGAAATTAATGATATCCACTATTGCATAGATCAATCACAGGGCAGGGAAGCGGTTTCGTCATCCATTCAGACGATAGTGTGAATCGACGGTGAAGTCAACTTGCGTACAAAACTTTCGTCAATGCAAATAACCCGGAACAATAACAGAACACCAGCAACTTCAACTATAAAAATCCAACTTCTGGCGGCTAAGAATTAACTGTAACTTTTACGGCTTCTAGACGTATGTCCTTTTAATATCGATTGCACTGATTTCACTACAGTGTACCAGTTTAAACAAAGTGTGTTTATTCACTCCATTCATCAGTAAACACTACAAACAGTTGATTAAATTTCGTTTACACTTATATTCAAAGTATGTTCGTGCGATGGAGTACGAAAAAATAATGCATGACTCCTCTACGGCCAGGTTTCATGATACACTACACCGTACTCTCCTGCTAGTTGCCTGTGAGGAAGGGACTGGGAGGGGAGGGGCACTTAAGCAGACTTTCTGACGATGGAGAAGTACGCGCTGTTTGGCATATGCGCTATATGAACATACTTTGATGTTAAGTTGTCAGAACCTGTTGGCCATGACGCAGCAAGGTGATTCTAGCGAAGAAAATGATGCTAGAGACCTCATGCGGATTTAGATGCTCAAATACAACTGAGCTGTCGTAAATGCCATGTTGTCCGGTCTTGAGAAAAGCTGACGTGGTTCACTCTGATAGGTAAGATGGTAGAGCGAACCTATGCAAGCGAGTTCTGAATCAGCACGAAGTTATCGTCCACTAAGGAAACCCTCACTGCGTTTAGAGCTAGGATTTTGTTCGTAGCTTATAAACGCTTCTTATAAACTTTGAATTTACTTTACACGTTGCGTTGATTTTCGGTCACCTAACAGGTGAATACAGGCAAACTACAACCGGAGCATCCACGTTCAACAGACTGAATTTTTTCCTTAAAGGAATTGGCAGTCACTAAGAAAATTGGACTGTCATTAACAGACAAGAGAACCTGAAGACTGTGGAGGATTTTGCCAGAATACTGTACAAAAATGAAAGCGACAACACCTGGGTGACGAATGAGACCTAAGAAGTTTTGCCAGAAGAACTTTGACATGCAGTAAAACTGGTGAAACGAAGAAGTGCTGCAATAAAAACTACCGATGATCACATTAAATAAGCAGCTATCAGATGAGTCAAGGCAAGCTGTAGCCCTAAGAGGCTCCTGCACCAGAACACGTTGTCTTACATCACGCCGATTCCAATAAGACCACGCCCCAAAACGCCATGCTATTCCTGTTGCTTGCAAGTCAAAGATTTGCAACTCGTTTTTCGGCTTGTTGCACCAAAACATCCCCTGCT